TGGACTTGCTCTGCCCACAGAGGTGATGATGGGCTTTGCCAGAGACCCCTTCACTGTTGCAATAGAGGGGGACGTATCAACCAGAGCAAAGGAAGTGGTCCCCTGCATCGACAAGGGGAAATATACACTGGGACTTATTGACATGCAGCGCACTAACGGGCCAGCGAGGTTTTGGAATGATGTCAAAAAACAGCAGTTCCCTAACGTTCAGAAAGTAGCGATCTGTGTGCTCAGTATGTTTGGATCAACATACGCATGTGAATCAAGCTTTTCACACATGAACTCAATCAAAAGTAGCACTCGCTGCTCCCTGACTGACAGCACTCTTCACCAATGTCTTAGGATTGCATTGACATCCTATGAGCCAAAAATCACTGCTCTTGTTCAAAACAAAAAATGTCCCTTCTCCCATCGAGAAAGTCAGCGATGACAAATCACAAATGAGGTGATAGTAAGCACCTAGTTTACTATAGTAGACGTGTAGTGTAGTATTCATTCATATAGTTACCCGTATCCCTTGTTATGGGTTTGTGCACTGAAGGGTTTGACAGTTCTTTCTGTATTCATTTAAATGCGCTTTGTAATGTGTCTGGGTTCAAATGTGACCAAAACATATGATTTTTTTGTTATTACTTGAAAAGTGAAAAAATTGTATTGCTACAGTACTACCTCTTTGTGTTGCATTGGAGCTCTTTAGCTGTTTTTTTGTATGTGAGGACATTTATTAAGACTGCTATTATTGTATTCAGTAAATGCACTTTGTGATGTGCCTGGTTCAAAAAACATAACCTGAATATTTGACTTCTAAAGCAAACAAATGTAATGCTACAACTGTGCACTTTTTTTCTCCAGATTCTGTTAAATTAATGCTAATTTGTTGTGTTTTTATGCACTTTTTGACCTACCTTTGTTAGATGAACAATGAATAAAAATTGCATGTTTTTCATCGCAGTAATATGTGTTGGTTTAAAATGTGTCACTACCCGCTTTTTACAGGCCGCTGAATGTCTGGCCCAGCTGAATTTTGTAGTTATAAAATCTGGCCCAACTGAATGTGTAGTTGAATAGCCCTGCCATACACCTTCAGCCTGCTTGCTCGACATCTATTATGCTGTTATATATACATATCCTCAGTAGAAAATAAATATATTCAGAAGAGTTTATAAACACTATAAAATATACAGAATAAATAAGAATACTCTCTTGTACACCAATCTGCTAAACATATAACATACTGTATAAATATATATGTATAATGTATAAACTATTTACATACAACAATTGGATACAGTAGCTTTATATTCAAATATATCCTGTGAGTTAGTGGAAATTGGCTACAATATATACAAATATATAACATTGTTTCTGATTCTAGAAAGGGAGAACCTGAACAAACTATGAAGCCTTGAGTTCTCTGCCATCCACAGGTGATTTGTCTCTTATTTTAAGGATTTAAAAAAACATTCCTCAAAAAGCAAATTTGCACCAAAAGAGAAAAACATAGTTAACTGAAGAAATAAATAAAATAACAAATACTTTTCTTATCAAAGGATAGCAAACACTCTGAGAGGGGGGGGGGTGTACCTCCTGCAGCATGCGCCCCTGCCCGCTGCTGTCCTGCAGGGTGGAGAGCAGTCTGTCCAGGGTCTGGGACACGTGGACTTGTTGCTCCGTCTGTCCACTGCTGCAGATAGAGGCCAGCACCAGACCCAGGCCCAGCACACAGCCCGTGCTGAGGGGGGAGACTCAAGGTCAGAACACTGGGTTCATTGTAAAGTCACATGTTGTAGCTTTTATGCATTCTTTGTATTGTATTGTTATTCCCTACTGGTTGGCATGGTGGTACAAATCTGAGCATTTATACATCGCCTTGGCTTATGGAAAGTTTGTAACAAGTAACATCAATCTCAAAGATTACTGCATAATGAATACTTTGACATTCTGCTGAAAGTACTTTCACTCAAGTTTGATTTGACAGTGGAGAATTCTGGCCAATGTTTACTTATTTGATTTGTATTCAGTTAACGGGTGCCTGCCTCTATCATATACGCAGTGGTGGAAAGTAACTATGGAAAATACTCTGCACTTAAGTGCATTTTTCAGGCACTTGTACTTTACTGGAGTATTTTCATTATATGCTACTTCATACTTCTACTCCACTACACTCTGGCAGCAAATGTTACTAATTACTTTTGCAGGTTTATATTATTAATACAAACATGAAATCAACTAATACACTATGATGTTCTGTTAAGGATGGAGATAGACACACATGAATCAATTATTAATCCAACTAATATTATTTAAAAAAATTGCCACTTTGAATAACGAGCACTTTTAGATGTGGTACTTAAATATATTCTGATGCAAATTATTTTGTACTTTTACTTAAGTATAATTTTGAATGCAGGACTTGAGTCCACGAGTGTTTGCTTTAGTCATAATAAAGCAAACACTGCTTTATTAGGACTTCTTCTTAAGTATAAGATGTGAGTACTTCTTTCAGCACTGCATATAAGTTAATATTTACATTCATTATGTGACCGTCTGTGTTTCCTGAAGATATTTAATTGCTCTTTATACTGCACTGTTAGTGTACAGTTGTACTAGTCTGCTGCTGTGTTTATTGTGTTTTTGTAACTCGGCACAATAATTTCCTTCGGGATAAATAAAGTCTTATCTTATCTTAAGCTAGTCTGCGTTGCCCCTTTGCTGTGAGACGAATAAAGGATTTCTGATTCAACTTGAATGTTCACTGTGTGATTTTAGGACTTCTATGCATGAAGTAAAGAATCAGAATATTATTTCCCCCACTTCACATCACGTGTCAGGGCTCAGAGTCAGCACTGACTTGTACTCCAGGTCGGGGTTGAAGGCGCTGCCCTCCAAAGCGTCCAGAGCGCTGCGGAGGACATCAGTGTCCTTCTGGACCGAGACGTCACTGCAGAGCAGAGACAGTATTAAGGGTGAGTTACAGCAAGGGTGTCAACTATAAGGCCTGTGGGCCAAAACCGGCCCTCCAATCTGGCTGGATGAAAAATGACAGAAAAGACATTAACTGTAAATACTGTTTAATTTAATTAATTTAAATGTTATACATTCTCAAGGAAGTGGGATTACTGAACCTACAAAGTAGTTTTGATCATAAAGTAAAATACTATATTGTTCAGTTCCCCAGATACTGAGATCTGTGAGTTGTAATTAATGTGTAAATGATAAACTGAGGAGTGATATTGTTGAAATTACACTTATTTTTCTGAATACATTTCAGGTTGTTCAAAATGTGTTAATGATAGTTCATTAAATGTGAACAGATCAGATTTTGCAGTATGTGGCTTGTTAACTAAAATGAGCCCCCCCTCTGGTCAACGTGTGTTTGCGTCACCCCCACAGACCTGAGGCGCTGCTGGTGCAGGCTGGACAGCACCATGCCCAGCGCCAGGCCGGAGTGGAACTGCAGGGCCTGGGAGTCCTCTGCGGAGCTGGAGCCCGGCAGCCCGGCCTGCAGCGCAGACAGGACCTGGAGAAGCCCCTCCCTCTGCCACACCACCAGCACCGGGACCAGCAGGGACAGGGCCAGGCTGGCACAGGAGCGGGCGATCGCGCTCGCCGTGTTCTCCCCCGAGTAGGAGCGCTGTACAGGGGGCGAGGAGGGGACAACTGACTACTTTAATATTTCTACTTTATGAAATGGATGGTTGTATAAAAAATCTTTCCTGCTAAATTATTTGGAACCTTGAACATTTGGGCTCCTCTGAAGGGGGCCTGCAGCCTAATCCCATGTACTGTATCTCTGGAGATAATGATCAGACCACATTTGGACTAGATGTTCACAGAGACAAAGCATACAATGATGCCTGTAAGAGAACAACAAGGCATTCTTTTTATTATTGATTTGTCAGTTATTTTCCATAACTATTTAAATAAGTAATTTTGAAAAGAAAAAAACAAACAATTATCAATTTTCAAAATAGTCTGGTTTACTCACTTTAAAGTGAATTTGAAATGTGATGAACATACAATATGTGGGGATATGTGTACAAACTGAAGGAATTAGAATTTGAATACTTAAATGTATTTTTTCATTTTGTCATGATGCAACAACCAAAATCACCTTATCAAGCATGACTAACCCTTGTTGTTACATTGATTTAATATACATATTAAGAGGTGATGTTAATGGTTTTGTATTTTAAGCCTCAATGGTATATCAAGAGTAAGATTGAACACTGGATTCAAACTTCAGAAGGACTATCTGCTGTGACCTGGTATACATTTACAGTATCTGAGACTCACGTGCAGGAACCATGGGAACACCTGTCCTGAGGGCCGGTAGCTGCTGATGCTGAGCAGAGTGTTCAGCACCATGGACAACCAGGAGGCAGTGGGCACGAACTCTGGCCCCGCCTACAGAGGAGAGACAGTGAAGGAGAGATATTAATGAATAGTAACACATCATATCATATCAGTGCTACTCCCAGTGCTCAAAGATGCTTTACAAGAAAATAAGAGGAATAAAAACAATAAAAACAGTCCTGAGTGGGGTAGAGGATTATAGGTTGAAAGCAAGAGAGAACTGGGGGGTATACTACCAAGCCAGATCAGTGTGTTAGTGAGGTATGTCGAGCCTAAAGCCAGAGTATTCCGTACTGCGAAGGTGGCTCTCTTTTAACCTGGCTAGATGGCCATGGCATCCGGACCAGGTTATGTTCAGAGTTTGAGCTTGAAATTCTGCTTCCTTTAAAATAGTGTGCCTTTGAAGTGTTGAGATGAGAGGCAACCCGTCATCAGTGATGCATTACATCAGAACCAGATATTATTCATCAGGATGAAGTTTACTTGCAGATGAGTGCAGTATAATTCCTTAAAACCATAATTTCCCCACTTTGGAACATGTTTTTAAGAGTCGTCCATACCTCTCAAGGTCTTATTACAAGCTGTCACCAGAGTGAGTTATTTACTGCGGGTGCCATAGGGTGTTGCTGTATTTTCAGGTATTTTAGGGTGTTGTGTCATGCGATTGGTTGAGTTTTGACCCCAAAAGCGGATATGGTTTTTGACCTCCATAGTGGGAATGTGTGTGAGGACCGGAGGCAGTTTTAGTACTAGACTTAGCTCCTACAGTCAGAAAGAACCTTCATCAAGCCAACCATAGGTGAAGTCTAGTGCTACTAGATAAAACAGATAGTGTTTGTCATTCTTTTGACTTATATGAATATCAGTTCACATTTAATCAAATCAAATCAAAGTTTATTTATAAAGTTTATTTATAAAGCACATTTAAAAGCGATTTTTGGTCGGGCCAAAGTGCTGTACATGTAATAAATACTACAATCACATAAAAACACATTACCGGTACTACAAATCACAATAAAAGTCATGAGTCGTGCTCCGCTCTGACTAGAAGGCCAGGGAGAAGAAGTGTGTTTTAAGAGTTGATTTAAAAACCCCTAGGGTCTGGGCCGACCTCACAAGGAGGGGCAGAGTGTTCCAGAGCCTGGGGCCAGCTGCTGCGAAGGCTCGGTGCCCTCGGGTTTTGAGCCTGGTCTTGGGCACTACCAGCAGCAGCTGGTCAGCAGACCTTAAAGCTCTGGCTGGGGTGTAGCGATG